GTACTGCCAGCGCTGACAAACAATTTTGGAACACAGCCTATGTCTTTGGCTGTGCAGAATAAAACAGGGAACAGAGAATAAGAATTTCAACCTATCAGAAACTGTGTATTTATATATCTATAGTACATGATTTCTGATAGGTTGAAATTCTTATTCTCTGTTCTGTGTTGCCTGTTCCTTTGATTGCGGAGCCTCTCCAATGCCGTTCTACATTGGTCATATCGTAGCGTTGGAAGCATCGTAAGCAGTGTTGCCAGTATTTTAAAAAATAATATCACCTAATTCATAGCTCGTGGTAGCCCAAAGCGCCCAAAGCCCAAGACACAATGCGAGGGAATAGCGATTGCGATAGGAATAACACAGTTTCAACTTATCAGAAATCGGATAAACCAGAATACACAGTTTTTGATAGGTTGAAACTGTGTTAATTCTATCGCTGTCGCTATTCCCTCGCATTGTGTCTTGGACTTAATGCACGGCCCTTGATAGCCCAAATTATCTAAATTTCCTACATTTTCTAGATTCTCTAGATTCCCTAGATTTTTCAAATTTTCTAGGTTCTTAAGCCGTTATTCAAAAGTCGATTTTACCAACATGAGTTAATTTAATTGTTTGATTAAATTATCGACTAAAATCATAGGGTGCTTTTGCATTTGATGACACAAATCGACACAAGTGTTGTTCTATCTTTCTTGACAAGAGAGTGACAAAGATAGAACGACACTTGTGTAGACTTGTGCCATCAAATGCAAAGCATCCATAAGCAATTATTAGGATGTTATTTCATTTGTGCGTTTTGTCATAAGACAAAAGTATGCAGAACAGAGAGGTCCTCGGATCTCTCTATTCTATAACCAATCAACAGGCTTGAAAAATTCGTTGTACGGCAGAAACGCACAAATGAAATAGCGGTCTATGCCCGATATTTCATGTGTCGGTCGACAAACTTTTCAAGCACGTTGATTGGCTATAGGACAGAGAAATCCGAGAATCTCTTTATATTACTGCCAATACTGGCAGTGAATATCGGAACATAGTCTAGATGTTTGCACTCTCACCACAAAACTAGAAATCTCCAAAGAGTCAATTTCAGATCTCGATGGGGCATTCAGAATGATAACCGC